TGAGGAAAGGACACATGGTTCAAACAACACATTCTACGGAGGACCACTGGGCTTCCAATTTGCTCCTAACAAGCATTCAGGCAGCATGACGTGAAACGTGACATCTCGCTGGAGAAGCTCAGGAGAAGGGTGACCCTCTTCTGCAGCCGTCAGTACTAGATGGACAGAAGCTGTAAAGCAGGCGGAGACAGAGAGGAATGCGTTTGAAGTGACATGTAAAAATGTGAAGCCCCCGACAGCTGTGGATTTATGACGATGACAAATCTGTACATAATCGGTGCTAATCGCAAACCCCTCCCACCCACCCCACCATCCTCAGGAGGGATGAAAGGGTCCCTGTCCTACTGCGTTCCCATCAGACATCAATGACAGACGGTGAAGGAGTGGGAAAGACCTCGGTGTTATGGGGCATAACTGATCATTCATGTCTTCAAAGTCAAACTGGCTGTAGACTCTGAAATAGACCTGAAGTTTTACTGGCTATAGTGTTCAGTTATTGCGATTTGAACAGTAGGTGGCAGTCTTCCTCTTCCTCAAATTGTAGTGAAAGCCAAAACAGCAGGTGCTTAATGTGCAGAATGAATTTCCCACTAAATCATAAGCAGACATAATAAACATTTAGTTCAGCCAATATACTGTGGCTCCAAAAATTATTTGGACTCACAAATCAAAATGAATGAATGTCACAGCATTAAATAACAAAATATCAAACCATGGAATTAAAGGGATAGCTCTTTATCATTTCAATTATGATTTTCCAAAGTTATAATTTTACATATTTTACTATGGAAGTCAATGGCCACCGTCAACTGTTTAGTAACCAGCATTCTTCAAAATATCTTCTTTTGTGTTCAACAGAAGAAAGAAACGTAAACAGGTTTGGAACAAGTGGAGGGTGAGTAAACGATGACAGAATTTTCATTTTTGGGTCAACTATCCCTTTAATCACTAAAAAAAAAACAAAAAAAAAAACAGCATTTTTTTTTTTTCATTTTAAATAATAATGGGGGATTGTAATTCATGCATAGATAGATAGATACTGTAGATAAATAAATACATTTAATTTGCCTTCTTCCAAATTGGGGCAGAATATTGTATAATTTGAAAAAATGATTATTCGTTGGACAAACTGATTCACTAGAATGAATCAGACTT